AAGATGTGGTACATGTATACAGTGGAATACTACTGAGGCATAAGAAAAGATGAAACACTGCCATTTGCAAAAAACATGAATAAATCTTGAGAGTACCATGCTAAGTGAAATAAGTCAACAGAAAAAGTTAGGAACCACATGATTTCACTCATGTGGAATATAAAACTAAAAGCAACAAATGAACAAGAAACACAAACAAAAAACCAAGCAAACAAAAACTCATATACACAGACAACAATATGGTGGTTACCATAGGGAAGGAGGATAGGAGATAGTAAAGGGTAATGAAAGTCAAATACATGATGACAGAAGATTTGGCTTTGGGTGATGGGCACACCACACAATAATAAGATGACATATTACAGAACTGTACACTTGAAACCTATATAATCTTATTAACCAATCTCACCCCAATAAATTTAATTTAGAAAAAAGAAATTATTCTTTTTAAAGCTTATACCTGTAAAGAATTCTTTGTAGTCTTATCTAATTAACAACTGTGCCATTTTTTATCTTTAAAAAAACAATTGTTTAAATTGGATGTCTTGGTTCATGGTTAACAATGAGACAGAGTAGGTGTGAATCTTGGCCCTAGAGTAAACTTATTACTGGGGCATCAAAAGAATACAAACATCAGACTTCTGGCTAAGATGGAGGCATAGGTAGACACACTGTGCCTCCTTACACAACCAAAAGAAGGACAATAACAATTTAGAAGCAAAAAAACAACCAGAACTGATAGAAAATCAAACTGGATGGAAGTCCGACAACCAAGGAATTAAAGAAGAAATATTCATCCAGAGCCGTAGGAGGGTCGGAGATGCCTAGGATGGTGGAGAGGACTCCCAGCAAGGCAGCAGCTAGTGGTACCAGTGGTCCTACATTCACATGCAGATAAACTGGGAGGATCAACTGGGGAGCGAGACAGACTGTGCAACCCAGGGTCCCAGCAGGGGGAAGTAAAGCCTCAAGCGGCTCATTGAAAACACCTGTGGGGGTTGAGGCAGCAGTAGAAGAAACTCTCGGCCTCATAGGAGAATTAGTCGGAGAGACCCACAGGGTTCTAGTATGTACACAAGCCTACCCACTGGAAATCAGCCCCAGAAGGGCCCAATTTGCTTGTGGGAAGTGACTGAAAACTGGCAGAGAGTGGAGCAGGTGTCATTGTTTCTTCACATACATCATCATAAGGCATCAGTGAGGGATACCCCGCCCTCGTGAACATCTAAGGATCCGCCCCAAAATATGTAGCAGGTGCACTGAGAAAAAAAAGGCCCAAATGGAAGAACAAATCAAAGCTTCAGAAAAAATACAACTAAGCGATGAAGAGATAGGTAACTATCAGATACACAGTTCAAAACACTGGTGATCAGGATGCTCACAGAATTGGTTGAATTTGGTCACAAATTAGATGAAAAAATGAAGGATATGCTAAGTGAAATGAAGGAAAATGTACAGGGAACCAATAGTGATGGGAAGGAAACTGGGACTCAAATCAACAATTTGGAGCAGAAGGAAGAAAGAAACATCCCATCAGAAAAGAATGAAGAAACAAGAATTCAAAAAGATAAATAAATAAAGAGAGGCTTTGGAATCTCCAGGGCATCTTTAAATGTTCCAATATCCAGATTATAGGGGTACCAGAAGGAGAAGAGGAATGACAACAAATTGAAAACTTATTTGAAAAAATAATGGAGAAATTCCCCAGTCTGGCAAAGGAAATAGACTTTCAGGAAGTCCAGAAAGCTCAGAGAGTCCCAAAGAAGTTGGACCCAAGGAGGAAACACACCAAGGCACATCATAACTACATTACCCAAAATTAAAAATAAGGAGAGAATCTTAAAAGCAGTAAGAGAAAAGGAGACAATTATCTGCAAAGGAATTCCCATAAGACTGTCAGCAAATTTCTCAAAAGAGAGTTTACAGGCAAGAAGGGGCTGGAAAGAAGTATTCCAAGTCATGAAAGACAATGACCTACATCCAAGATGACTCTATCCAGCAAAGCTTTCATTTAGAATGGACAAGCAGATACAGTGCTTCTCAGATAAGGTCAAGTTAAAAAAGTTCATCATCACCCACCTCTTATCAAATGAAATGATAAAGGGATTTATCTAAGAGAAAGAAGATAAAAAATATAAACAATAAAATGACAGTTAACTCACAGTTATTAACTATCGCACCTAAAACAAAAACAAAAGCAAACTAAGCAAACAACTAGAACAGGAACAGAACCACAGAAATGGAGATCACATGGAAGGTTATCAACAGGGGAGTAGGAGGGTCAGAGAGGGGGAAAAGGTTCAGAGAATAAGTAGCATAAATGGTAAATAGAAAATGAACAGGGGGAGGTTAAGAATAATATAGGAAAAGTAGAAGCCAAAGAACCTATATGTATGACCCATGGACATGAACTAAAGGGATGGGGGGGAATGTAGGTGGGAGGGGGTGTGCAGGGTAGAGGGGAATAAAGTGGGGGAAATGGGACAACTGTAATAGCAAAATCAATAAAATATTTTTTTAAAAAAAGGAATGCAAACATCATATGACCTCCAACTGTACTTTTGCTTTTTGCCACACATAAGTCATGTACTGGGGCCAGGGGGGTATATGTAAAATTTATGTCCTAGAAACCTCTTAGGTCCTACCAGATAGATCCTAAATTGATGAGCCTGCTCCTCAGACCCTAAATATATCCAGACCTGTCTCTCCCAGCATAAATTGTTCTGAAGGTAGGTATCAATGAATATTCATTGATAAAGAGAATGATAGTTAGTATAAAAATAGAAACCAAAAATAATTTCAAATTCAGGTTCTTCATTAAGCCCTACTGTGATTTTTAAACCTTCACCATTTTCATTTCTTTGTTTTGAGTCATTACCTCATAAAATTCATAAGCATAATTAGACTTATTGAACTGAATTGAATTTCTTTTTCTTTGTTTATAGGAATTAATTTGGCAAGCCATAGTGAATTAAGAGAGCATGTTTACACTACATTTTACGTATCTGACCCATTGTATACAATTGCCCACTGTGATCCCTTCAAAATGCTGCCTACAGCCTTTGCTGTGACAGTTCAAAGCTGCAGGTACACTTTAGAGGGACCTTGACAGTGTGAGAAAGGAGGGTTTCCTGTTTCTGTATTTCACATAAGACATATCCTCAAGCATAAATCTCTTCATTGCTCATTGAAATCTTGTCAGGGCTGAGAGAAGAGTATTCTGGAGATTAGTTTAAATCAAGTCCATGGGATTTCTGACCCAGAAACCCCGACATTTGCTAGTTGGGCTCAATAGGAAGATTTGATAGCAAAGACATCCCTAAACAGTAAGGACACAGCATGCTACAGAGAGTTTATATTCAGTACTTCATTCTATCGCCTTCCTTCCAGGGCTATCATGCTTCCCCATCAAATCTCATCTCTCCTCTCTTGTAGGCCCTTCAGGATGGTTTTCAGTGTTTCCCAAGTATCTTTCCACTAATCCCTCCCCTGGTACACGGAGAGGCTAAAGAACTGTGATGGGAGTAGCAGCCAGCTATTTGGCTTGACTGAATGGTACAGCACCCAGGCTGGTGATTTCCCTATCAGTCTCTACTATGTGGGACCAGGGGGTGAGCTTTCCCCCGCCCTGCTTCTCCCACCTGGAAACTTCATCACCAATATGTATAAATACCTGACACACTGGGGAATGCAGGTTGAATTGTACTAAATGCCTGAGATTTTTTCTTTCTCAGAACCTAGGGAAAAGTTTTCCTGGTTATGAAAAACAAAGTAAATGACAGTCAGACTCCTAGGATTTAAAAGGAAAAAGTATGAAGGAAAGGACATTTTCTTAATTTCAAGACATCCAATGTCCCAGGGATGATTCAGTGTGTGTTCAAATGGCTGCTACATGGGGACCAATTGCTGCTTATCTGGATAGGTGAGTTGGGTGTAGCACAGTGTGTGTGTGCACACCTAAGCAGCAAGTGGCAAGACACACCTGTGTTTGCTCTCTCTCTCTCTCTCTCTCTCTCTCTCTCTCTCTCTCTCTCGATCTTGTTGGATCTGTGGGGTCTCAATCTTCCAGAGAGGGGTCACTCCCCAGCTGAGCCTGGGGTTCCATATGTACTTTATCGGGGGTCTTCTGACAGCAAAAGGCCCATATTGGTTGACTAACCTATTAGCGACATCAACAGTTTAAAGTTTAGGAACATTTTAGCTAGATTAGAGCAAGTCCCTGGGGAGGATTTAGAGATGAGGAAGGCCTTTCGATGTTTTAGAAAACACATCCTGCCTAAACTTGCCTGCTCTGCAGTTTCCACCTGCAGGTTGTTGCTTAATGGGGTCAGGAAACACTATTTACACTATAGAAATCTGATAATAAATACTCACTGTCAGCTGGTTATTTCTTGAGAACAAAAGAAAACAAATGCACAGTATAGCGTTTAATTTGTAGAAAACTAAAAGTGGATAAAAGGCATCATGCTCCTGGATCCCATTTTACTGAGTGGGCAAGAAGTTTCCCCATCAACCCCTCTTCATCTCTGACCAAAGCAATTAAGGGAATCAGACCTCTTTGTGTGCATTCACACTGGAATTAAAATTGAGAGAACATCTGGCAACAGTTTATTGACACACAACATAAATGTTCAGAAACCCAAGTTGCAATTCTGAGAAGCTACACAAATCCATGTCCCTTCCCACCCACTCCCTCTCTGTAACTGTTCATCTTCACACAGTGATGAACCTCAGATGCTGACTCTAACATGCATGGCACTTGTCCCAGATTGCAGGAGTCTCCTAAGAAGGGGAAAGAAAGCAGAGAGCTCGAGACCAAGCCCAACTTCCTGTGCACAGGGGATTTCTAGGCCCAGAATGCTGCCCTGCTGAGTGAGACCTGCTGAAGATCAGAAATGTTACATGGATGCAGCAGCCTCATTACCCTCTCAGCCCACTGCCCTTTCACCTGGTCACACAGCCTCCTCTTCAAGTAATTGTCAGGCTAGGCAGACACTCACCGGCAAGCTAGTTTTCTTCAGATTTGGCTTCACCTTCTGAATGGCTGTCTTCCTGAATATGGTCATTGGGACTCAGGATGACAAAGAGCTAAGGTCTCCTTCATTCGTCGGTGGTAACTCATTTTGCAGATTGAAAAACAAAAGTACCAGATGGATGGCTCTAGTTTCGAGGGTGTCTTAGGCTGGTCCCTGTGAGAATGCTATCAAAGGTGAGCAGGCAACATTCCTAACTGATGAATGGTGATAGTTGAGACTGCCAGAAAGTGTGGGTGCGGCAGCTGTCAAGAGCCACTTTGGTGTGTGTGTGAGTGGGAGTTCAGAGGCAACTCCCTCCAGAGTTGGCATCACCCACCTCAAGTAGGAATGTGCAGGCATAGGGTGATAGAGGAAGAGCGTGGGAGTGTGTGGATGAGTGTGTGCAGACCCAAAACAATGAGTTTCTCAATGAAGCTAAGAACAGTTTTCCTTTTTTTAAAAAAATAGCTTTATTGGGGTATAATCAGTATACAAAAACATAGTTAATATGTACAATTTGATAAATTCAGACATATGCAAACACTTAGAATACCATTATCCGCACACTCAGGATAACACATATCTAATACCTCCACAAGTTTTCTTATGTCCCTTAGCCTTTTGTGTGTTTGTGGGGCAGGGGGGGTGGTAAAATCACTTAACATGAAATCTACCCTCTTAACAACATTCTAAGTGCATAACACCACACTGTTAACTATGGGCATGATGTACAGCAGATCTCTAGAGCTTATTCATTCAGCATAACTGAAGCTTTACATCCATTGAACAACAGCTCCCCATTTAGAACCAATTTTCCATTAACTAAACCTCTATTTTACAAGAAGTTACAAGAGCTTTGGGGTTTTCTGCCTTGGCATAGCATGATTTAGCAGTGATTTTAAAACACTTTGAAAGCATTAGAGGCCTCTTTCTTTCAAAGTCCTACACCTGAGCTCCAAATTACAAAAAAATATAGAAGCAGAGCCTCCCTGGTTGGTGAGGTTGCTGGTCCCAGAGATCTAGACTCTCTACTGATCATCTGTTTGATGGCCAGGAAGATCCAAGAGACACCCACGTGAGAACCCCTAAGTGTTCTAGAACAAAATTTAACAAATATGTGGCAAGTATGAAGAGGTTTGGTACATGGAGTCTTTATATAACGTACTGTTGCTATAATTAAGACTTTGGGGATGTGGGCTGCCTAATGGAAAAAATAATGACAGCAAGGAGACTTTCCTTACCACACTCTTGTAGCTGCTACTGTCCTATTTGGCATGCCTTTTCCCAAAGTATCTGAATGCTTTGTTTAGTATCTTCTCTTTAAAAACAGGACCATCAAGAGAATAAATAGACAACCCACTAAATGGGGGAAAATACTTGTAAATCTGATGAGTTTAGTATTCAGAATATATAAGATCTGCTACAACTCAAAAACAAAATGACAGAAACAACCCAATTTAAAAATAGACAAAGAACTTCTCCAAAGAAGGTATGTAAATGGTGAACAAGCACACTAGAACATGCTCCACATCCTTCATCATTAGGGAAATGAAAATCAAAACCACAATGAGATACAACTTTTTATCCACAAGGATGCCAATAATAGTAGAGAAAATAACAGGTATTGGCGAGGACATGGAGAAACTGGAACCCTTACACATTGGTAAGGGAAATGTAAAATGGTACAACCTCTATGGAAAATAGTTAAACAATCTCTTAGTAAGTTAAGCATAAAATTGTCATAAGACCTACCAGTTCCCCTCCTAGGTATATACTCAAAGGAAGTGAAAACAAATGTTCAAACAAGAACTTGTACATAAATGTTCATAGCAACACTATTCACAATATGCAAAAGGTGGAAACAACGCAAATGTCTACCAACTGATAAATGCATAAGCCATTGTAATATCATTCATCCATAAAAGAAATGAAGTATTAAACATGCTACAACATGGGTGACCCTTGAAAACATTATGCCAAGTGAAAGAAGCCAGACACAAAAAGTAACATATTGTACGATTCCATTTATATAAAATATATAGAAGAGGCAAATCCATAGTAACAGAGAACAAATTAGTAGTGGTCAGGGGCTAGGGAAGGTGGGAATTGGGCAATCACTGCTAATAGGTACAAGTTTCCTTTAAGGGTGATGAAAACATTCTGGAACTAGATGGTGGTGATGGACGCACAACATTATGAATGTACTTAATGACACTGACTTGTAAAATATAATGAAATATAGGTTTTCTGTTATGTATATTTTACCACAATTTAAAAAAATACAGGGCAAATATACCTCCAGCCAAAATGCAGCCAGTGCATTTTTAAAGTAATTTCAAAGGCTTTTTTTTTCTCTTTGAGCTACCTGTATGGACACAGCAAAACAGAGCTCTGAAATCAGGATATTTGTGCTAAAGAAAAGTCACTCTTATTTCAGGGGCTCATATCCCTCCAGAGAGCCCAGAAAAATTGGCCTAGAGAATATGAGTGTCCACTCCTCCCTCAAACTACAACTTAAAAAGGAGACTTTCCAGGAGCCCAGCCAAGAGCCTATTGGGGCATGACCAAGCACCCCATTGCTTGGCTTGTATGGGGCTGCTCTCAGCTAAGAGGGAGCTGCCACAGTTCAGGTTGTGGCTTGTCATGTTGCCCTATTTAATCCAGAACCATTTCCTCTGGCTTCTATCCTAGAAAGGGAATGTGTCAGGAGCTGTAATCTCAGGGATATTCCTTGGGATTTCAAATGAGACTCAGCTCTAGGGCAAGTTTTGAAATCCTGTGGGCTGTGTTTGGCCCAAATACTACCTTTTGGACACTTTGGCTGTTGCTATTATTTTTAATTGGCAGGGAAATTATTGTACCCCTTTGCACAGCCTTCTTAGGAAGAGTCTTAAAGATCTTTGCATGCATTCCATTCCATCTCAGTCCTTTTAGCAATGATCATTCTCTTGCATTTCAAACTAGAAAAAAAAAAACCCTCTTGCTGAGGCAAACAAACTCATTCCAATCAAGTAAAAGATACCCCTTGGGGAGGGAAGCACCTACCTGCTCACCTGGAATGACCTTAATTCACATCTGCCCATTATACATGAATATTTGTCCTGTTCTGAGTCAACCTCCTGAGTTCCAAGCAGTTCTCTTTAAAAGAGTTGGGTTTGATTTTGTTTTTCTGTCTTCAGCTACCTCCTGCTTTATTATTCATCAGCCTAAATTTAATTACACACTCCATCTTTATAGCCCAGATTTCCAATGCACATGAGAAGTAGAAGTAATTATGAGTGGGAGGCATTAGACAGGGACTGGGGGGCAAGGGAAACACATGAGTACTTATGGGAGGAAGAGAAGTCATCATATTTGCAGAGCTGGATTCTGACATTCCAAGAGGCTGCCCTCAGACATATAACAGACCTTAGTACCATAGGATCCTTTTAATTCAGCCGAAGGGAGGTACAGAGCTGCCTGTCATGAAAAAAGTAATCAGTTCTTTCCTTCCTACAACCATTCAGCTGTATGGTGTGTTGGCACAATGCATAGTACTTGTTAACCACTCCAGAAAAAGAAAGGGCCACTTACTCTGATTAGCTGTCAGAACTAATTTTCATCTGTGTTATTATACAGTAAAGATGAAAAAGGAAATCCAAGGAAACTATGCTTAAGGCCAGTGCCTAATCAGGTTTTTTCCCCTTCATCTGTTTCATACAAAAGCTGCCTGGAATCACTGGTGTGAGCCATTAGGTTTCTCTCTTCAAGTGTTAATTAAATGTGATATTTTAAAATATACACTCCTCTTTTCAGGTAGAACAATCTGAGCCCTTTGTAAATTGCTCAATGGCTGTTGGTCCCCCCTCACAGCTGTACTTCATTGCCTTGTACCTTCTACTCCCCTCTTGGGCCATAACTCCAACAGCAATAAGTATAGAGTAATTATTTCTGCCATAAATGTTTCCCCTGGAAGGGGCTTGCCTTATTTTTGTTGTATGTGTGTGCTTGAAAGAAAAGCATATTGTAATATTAAGCCTCTTTGTTTTCCCTCTTTTAATACCCACTGGTTCTCTAAGATGTCATTGGCAAAAACAACACCATTTGCTTTTGTTCCCTTTACAAATATTTTCCACTTGAGCCCCATTTCTTACTTACAACTGCTGAGTGTCTTTCTACAGAAAGCAACTGTTCCAAAGTAGGCTGAATGAACACAGCCTGCGTGATTTTGATTTAGGAAATATTTACCAAGCTTTTTGTCTAAAACACCTTGGAATCTGGAGCAGTTTATAGTCTCTTGGATTCTTGAAGGCATCTCAAATGGTCGGTATGTGTGTGTAAGATAGGAGTTGAGGGCAGGTGGGGAGACTTGGAAAATTCAATTAACTTGTCTGTCATGTCTATCTCAATCATTCAGTTACCTACTCAACAACAATGGCTGAATGTCTACTACGTGTTTGCTACTTCTGATCAAGAACCTCCCCCCAGGGTAACCATTAAATGCAAGCAGAAAGCTTATTTAGATGCTCCATGTAAAGAAAATTAAGAGACCAGACTTCATCATTGTCACAATCTGTGTAATATACAAGTCCTATCTAGAAATCTGGAGACATTGAACATTTCTTTATCTTGGAAGAAAGCTTACTGTAAGATGCTTAGATAATTAAGTACTCTTTAAAAAATAAATAAATTTTACAATATGTCAACAAACAAATCACATTATTGACTCGCTCCAATAAGGCCTCCAGACTGTTTTACATTGTGTCCAGGTCTTCTCTTGCCAGAATTCATTGTAATAAGAGGCTTAAAAAGGTGTTTTTTGTCCAGAGTCAGGTCCAACAAATCTAATCCTACATTCAGCTGTGAAACACAAGGACAGGCAATTGGGTCTGAGAAGCACGAATAACATCTTCAAGATTCTACCACCTCCATTTAAGAAATGTGCCATCCACTCTCCAGATAGACTCCAGTTTTAATTTGATCACACCCCTATGACTCATTCTCCTAGAAGAAGTGGTTTGTATTTCACTCTAGAACCATTCCTTTTAAAAGTGTTGTAAAAACTCAAGCCATGATTTCTTAGTTTGCTCCCATTACGCTCTTCATTGGTTACATAGATTTTCCAGGACTCTTAGAAGAATGTGACTAAGTAAACTTTGAGGAGCTCTATCCTGAGATTCTCATTTCAAGCATACATCTAATTTTCTAAGACATAAGGG